CCGACTGGTCCAGATTTCCCCCATCCGCTGACAAACCTGCAGCTGTTTGAGGAGGTCCCCAACACGGTGACTCTGACCTGGAACCACAGCCCTGACATCCAAGAGGATAGTTAGGCCCACTATGTCATCATGAAGCGGGACGCCAGCACCGCCACCTGGTTCACTGCTGCAGAGCGTGTCTTCAGCAACAAGTACACAGTGACTGGGCTACTCCCAGGCAGGAAGTACTACTTCCAAGTGGTGGCCCGGGACGAAATCGGTGACAGCGACCCTCTTGACTCCAAGGATACCTGGCTCGTCAACAAGGACAAAAGTGAGTTGGGCACTGGGAGGTTCGGGTTACAGGTTATGTCTGGGAGCCCTGATGGTGGGGATGACATAAGAGAAGAGCAGGGGGACCCAAGAGGTGAGATAAAATCAAAGAACCATTGAGGTGGGAGGGTTAATGGCAAGGAAGCTGGGAGAGAAGGCATTGGGAAGCCTGTGGTGGTTGTGTTCCGTGGAGTGGATTCCTACTTATTGTGACCCTACAGGACAGAGTAGAACTGTCCCTTAGGGTTTCCTAGGCTATAATTTTACAAGAGCAGATAGCCAGTCTTTTCTGCCTTGGAGGCTGGTGGGTTCCAACCGCCCACCTTTTGGTTAGCAGCCTAGCTCTTAACCATTGTGCCACCAGGGCTTCTTCGGGGAAGGTTAGGGGTGGAAAAACCTTGGGGTACTCTTTGAGGTGTGGGACTAAGGTAAAGGTGGGGAGATGACTTTGGGGGCAGAAGCGACATGGTGGGTGGAGACACCGTCTGAACACTAGAGGGAGGGGAGGCTAATGCGGTGTGAGGATTAGGGAGGGAGGGTCGCTATGAGTCAACGCAAGGGCTCTAGGGACGGAATGATGGCCAGGAAACCCTGGAGGGAGGAGTTGAGGGTGGAGATAGTGTCAGGGAAACTCGGGAGGGACTTAATGGGAGAAAGAAGACCCTGGAGGCTGGGATGACGTCGGAGAAGCTTGGTAAGGGGTTAAAGGCAACGTAAACAGCTGCGAATACCCAGGTAAGGGAAGGTGGAGGCTGGAAAGACGTCAAAGACGCCAGTCTTGGAAAGCGTAAAACTCCGCGAACCTAGATTAGGTCACGGAACCCTGGTGTAGCGGGAAGGCTCTAGGGACGAGGAGAGCGTTGGAGTCCCTAGAGTTGATGGTGCATGGGAATCTGACCTGGGTCAGTGAAGTTGCGTGTGAGCTAGAGTCTCCCAGCCACCTTCCCAGACGGCGGGAGTGGGGGAAGGGAGTGCCGCGGGACGCCCCTGGCGCGTTGTCACAGGGAGCGCTCACGGCGCTTCCCCCGCGCAGTCGAAGACCTGAGCAGTAAACTGAAGCCATACGAGAAGGACTTAAGACACGCGCCGCGCTTCCTGACCCCGCTCAAGCCGCACAAGGTGCTGCGCGGCCAGGACTGCACCATGACCTGCGCCTTCCTTGGGAACCCGCGGCCCACGGTGACCCTCTACAAGGGCGACGTCAACATCACGGCCAACTCCAAGTTCTGGTACAACTCCACGAGCGGCGTCTGCACTCTAATCATCCCCACCTGCACTCTCAAGGACAGTGGAGACTACAGCGTACTGGTGGAGAACGAGCGGGGCAAGGACCGCAGCACGTGCACGTTCACGGTCTATGGTGAGGAAGCCGCGCAGGGTCGGGGCCTGGGAAGCAAAATGGTGATAGCGTGGGCCGGTGACAAACTCTTTTCTTTTGACTGGCAGCCGCTTTTTATTTAACCCGGCTGCTCCCATGTGGTGCAAACATTCTCTAATTGAACCTCAGTTCTTGCTGCAATCTCTTGTCCCATCCTCTCAATGTCACTTGTTACCTGCCTAGCCCCTGTGGCATGGGATTTTGTGATCACTTGATAGGCTGTGGTTTGACTATGGAAACCCTGGTGGGCCTAGTCACTTGTTAAGTGTCTTGGAGTTATTCTGACTCCTAGAGAACTGCCCCACAGAGTTTTCTAGGCTATAATCCTTTTGGGAGCTGATTGCTAGGTCCCCCCTCCCTCCCCCAGAGCACAGGGTGGGTTCCAACCACCAACCTTTTGGTTAGCAGCTGAGCATTTAACCATTGCGCCACCAAGGCTCCTAGACTTGCCTTTAAAAAAGATAGTGGTGATAAGGCAAGTATCCCTATGTTCACATTTTGTAAGAGGTTCTGATGTGCAACCAAGATTTAAAGAATAAGGGCAGATGGGAGGTACACATATGGGAGAACTGAAGGGAGTTTAGGTGGAGGCACTCACTCTGCATTGCTCACCTGTGCACACCTAGGGAAAAATATTTCGTTACTTTGCACACAAGCTATTGTCTTCACAGCTAGCAGAGTGAACTTCCTAAATGCAAAGCTTGCTCCCCCTTGCTTAAATTGTCTCCTAATTTTTCCATGATCCTCATGATAAAATCCCAACCAACAAGGTTCCCCCCCCAACTTCATCCTCTGCCACCCTTCAGCCTAGCACCATGTGCACACCCCCATACACTGTCTGCACCCGTCCCTGAACTCACATGGCACTCCATTAGCTGCGGTCTCCATGGTTACAGACCTTGGTTCATCCTGTTATAGATGCCTTTCCTTGGGATAAGGACCATATCCTATTGCTCTGTCTCTCAAGTGCTCAGCTAAGTGTCTGGCACCGAGATGGTGATGCCACCAGAGTGGCTGCCAAATTGTATAACAGAACTAGGCCAGGAAGGCAGCATGAAGGCCCTTGCATCAAGGGCCTCCTTGGCTCTACCACTGATCAGCTGTGTGACCTTGGGCAAGTCACCTCTCTGAGCCTGTTTTCTCATCTACTTCACAGGGTTGTTTTGAGGCTTAAATGAGATAGTGTATGGAAGTGCCTGGCATGGTACCTGGCAGATGTTAAGCTCTGAATAAACAGCGATTCTTGACCTCATACACTTAGCTGACCTTGGGGAACTGGGGCTCATCCCCAGGGGAGGATTCAGAGTCCAGCTCCTGATTCCCGTATAGTAACTACAAGTGCAGTTTAGAGGTTCCCCTCCCCCCAGCATCACTGTTGTTGTTGGGTGCCATTGAGTCAATTCAGACTCATAGTGACCCCATGTGACAGATTAGAACTGCCCCATAGGGTTTTCTAGGCTGTAATCTTTACAGTAGCAGACTACTGCCAGCCTTTCAGTTAGCAGCCAAGCACTTAACCAGTGTGCCACCAGGGCTCCTTCCAGCATCATTAACACTAACAAATACTTGCTTTGCTCTTTCAGACAAAGATGACAAGTCAATTCTAGCATCTGTTACTGAGAGTCTACAGAAGAAATCAAAGCACCTACGTGAGCCCCAGCATCAGGGGAATGCTGTGATGTGGGCTTCTGGGCCTGCCTTCTGCATGGCCTCAGAATGGGAAGCCCAATTTACTCTCTGCTGCTTGTCAGTGTAAACATCTGGTGAAGGGATGGGTCAATAAACTCACTGAGCTCACCCGTCTCTTCCTGAGGGTGGGGTACCGCAGGGACCAAGGGAATGGACATGGGCGTGGGATGGGGATACCGAGGCCGGGATAGCTGAGAGCCTAACCCAAGCCCACCCACATGGCGAGTGACCAGCCCCCTCTGACTGGGCCTTGACTTGCTGTCCCCTCCTCATCAGCCACACTGCACCTTCCCCTCCCCTGAGGGTACGTCTCTTTATCCTCTTCCCCATCCTGCTCCTTCTCGTGTCTTCACAACAGGTCTGTCTTCAGAGTTCAGGGTTTTGAGGGATCAGGACCTGGCCTCTTCAGTGTGCAGGGTTCCCACCATTAGAGAATTAGAGTGTCTCAGTGCTTGAAGGGACTGGTCATTCAGTTCACTAGGTTTCAAACTTACGTTTTGCAGCGGGATCCCTCCTTTAAAAAAAAAACACCTTAGGAAGCTAGTGGACTTGAAACAAAGATGGGGGTCTTTGAGCCCCCTCCCCTCCTTATTCCCTTTTCACCAACTAGGGATCTCTGTAATAACCCTCGTTTGAAAATCACTGATTCATCCAACACCCACCTGGATCTGAATCTCCTATATCATATCCCCACAACTGTGTAACACCTCCACTAATGGGGCACTCACTGCCATCCGAGGCTTCCCTTTCCACTTCTAGGCTAGGTCACTGCCGGTTAAAAATGCAAATGCTCCTGGAGTGGGATGACACATTGTTCTGCCGGGTCTTCACATCTGAAGTGTGAATCAGCCGATCTAATCCCATTTCTCTCAGCTGCTCAACCGAGCCCAGGATCCAAGGAGAGAGAAGGGAATCTGGCTCATTTTGGAGCAGGCAGTAGGTTTGGGCAGGGAGGAGGGAATGCAGGCAGCACTGGAGGACACTGGACAACTAGGAGTCACCCAAGGGTTCTGGGCATCTGTCATCAGGAGAGTGCATCAAGGACAAATTGCAACAGTGGCAAATACTACAAGTCCCTCATCCTCCTGAGCCACAACCTCACCCCTACCAAGGAAGTGAGACCCACTCCAAACAGGACAGTGTCACCAGAGCCAGGGAGCCAGCCTGGCACCAAAATGCACTCACCAGGACTGTGACTCAGACAGTGAGCACAGCCAGGGCCCCTGGCACCATGCCCCCACCCCCTCTCCAGGACAGGCACGTGCCATACAAGCAGACAAGCAGGGCAGATATGGACTTGGTTTTTATTTTTTTTTCACATGGGTAGTAGAGGATGGAGTTGCCCCACCCTTGCTCCCCTTGCATTGAATGTGCCTCGGGTCTCAGTGACCCTAGAGTGTCATTGGAGCCCCTTCCCTTTGCCCCCAGTGCAGGAGGGGCAGGGAAGAAAGCACTGTGAGTAGGCGCGAGGGGGCAGCTCTCTGAGCCAGGCTCAGTATCCCCTCAGACAGCAGGACAGAGACAGACGGCAGACAAAGACAGACAGGCTGGGACACAGACTACACATCCACACACACACACACACACATGCACACAAAGGCTGGTCCCTTCCTTTGGCATGGTTTACCCTAGCCTCAGGGATGGGGTCTGAGGATGGCGGTGTGAGGCCTGAGCTCTAGGCTGGCCTGTGAGAGAGGTGGGACCAACCTGAATCCTTGGTACTCCAACTTTTCTGGCCAAGGCAGTCTCCTCTCCTGCCTACCCTGAACAGACACCCCTTTACCTTCCCACTCACCCCTTAGAGATTGAGATTGTTCAAGTAACAAGGATAGATGAGAGAAAGGGAGATTCCACCCTCATCCAATCTTCCCAACTAGGGGCCTGAGAAAAGGGCTTCAAGCCCTGGGCCTGGGTCATCTCAGCACAGATTTCTCCCCTTTCCCTCAACTCTGCGCAGATCAGAGAGGGTGGGATCACCATTCCTGGGCATAAGACATGGAGTTAGAGTCCTCCCCCTTAGTAGGGATGGGGGGCAGTTAAGAAACAGCACCATCACCCTCAGGGGGCTTTGACAGTCCAGCAAGGGGCACTAGGTTGGCTCTTTTTAGCTCTCAGCATTATCCTGGACCATTAGTTTTGCTAGGGAGATCCTTTTCCTGCTCACCTCTTCAAACTTGCCAGGTGGTACCCGCTGCCCCAGGCTGGCACTGCAGCCATCCTGATCCAGGTCCTGCAGTTTCCCAGGTCCTGAATTCCAGTCCCAGGAGGAGAGAGGGGTGACCATACCCCAGCCTTTCAGTTGGCCTTCCTCAGTTCATAGTCTTCCACTGGCTCCCGGCTCTCAACAGCAGACAGGGCGATGAGCATCTGGGCGGCGTAGTAGGTGGACATGATGAGTGCCCGGGAGTAGGGCACAGGGAAGCGGAACTTGTCAAAGGCGATGGTCATGTCTGAGACCATAAAGAGCAATGCACCACTGCTAGCCGCCAGCTCAGTCCAGCGCCAGGCTGCCCCAACCAGTCGTAGCCCTGCCATAGCTCGCCAGCCCATGAAGCTGATAAGGGCCACATAGACCCCCACCAGGTAGGTGAAGGCACCTGAAAGGCCCGGGTAGAGGAGGGCATAGCACAGGCCTGCCAGCACTGCCATCACCAGTCCTGTCCGCAGGGCCAGTGGCCTCATGCCAAAGGCCGAGGCGTAGAACATGTGGGTCACAGCAAACATCAGCAGACCTGGGAGGAAGACGGGATGCTGAGGGCAGGGTCAGGTGAATAACCGGGGTAGGGAGGGGGGTGCTTGGGATAACCTAGCAGCTTTGTGGGGAGTAACAAGATAGGAGAAGACCCGCACAGGTAAAGATACCTCCCCCTGCCATGACCCTCAGAACTCCAGAACTGATCACCAGATCATCTGCAAGGTCATCCCCTGCAGAGACCCCCCCCCAGTCCCTGACCTCAGAAATCTTCAGATTCCCCATCTTCTAACTCAGAAGCTCCCTCCACCAAATCCTTGGACACCTCCCCCCCACAGCCCCCAGCCCCAGGACCCCTCCCAGGCAGCTACTGTGGCTACTGACCATGTACAAAGTAGCCCTGATCCTGCCAGATGAGGAAGGCATCACCCAGAGCAGAGAAGACGAGCCCCACAAAGATGCGCATGGCACTGGGGTGGGCCAGCAGGAATCCTAGGCCATGGGCCAGAAGGAAGAGCCAAAGGCAGAAGATGGGCAGGCACTTGATGAGGGCGTTGAACCATGACGGGCTGGATGAGGGCAGCCAGAGCACAAAATACACACATGTGGCTTTGAAGAAGGGCACCAGCTTGGGTCCCTCGCTCTTCACCTGGAGGACACATAGGGAAATACTCAGGGCTGGGGAGCTCCCATGGAGACTCAGAGCCAGCACCCTCAACCCAAGCATCCACCCAGAGACAGGTCCACCCTACAAGGAGGTCTGATATGGAGAAACCCAGCCTAGCCTGCCCCACCAGCCAGCAGGGTGTGGACAAGCCCATCCCCACCCTGAGGCTCCATTTATTGGAGAGGCTCCACTATTCCTACTGCCCTGTCCATTCTTGGCCCTGGGGCTGAACCGGAATGGTCACTCACTGAGCAGCAGACCTTGAGATAACGACCCCTCCAGCAGCCCAATGCTTCTCCCTCTCCCTCTCCAGGGTCCCTTCAGCCCCTCCCTCCCACCACCACCACCTGCATCAGCCCCCAGCTATCTGGAATGGAGTGGAGTCAGTGGGAAACCACAGAGATGCCAAGGCTGGCCAACTTATGATCCTCAGCAGTGAGGCCAGGGCACAGGCTTAGGGCCCTGGCAACACCAGATGAGTGCCAGGAATGCCAACCACCTTCACCCCCACAGGCTCTCCCCTGCTTGACAGTCTGCTCCTCATCCTCCAGCCCCCTGCCCCAGCCTAAATGTGTCATCACATTTAGGAGATAGGGATGCTGGCTAGAGAAATGGACCCATGAACTGGGGTCAAGAAAAGTGTCCCGGAAGCAGCGATTTCAGGGATTAGGGGCAAGGACGCAGTCAGTCTCATTTGCCAAAGAACAGAGCAATTCAAGACACAACAGGCAAGAGAGGCAGGAAGAGGGGAGAGGTTCTCTTCCCAGCTTCTGTTCTGGAGAGAGGTTGGGAGGATATGAGGAACTGAGAGGGGGAAGTTAGAGCAGCTGACAATGGCTCAGCCGGATTTGGGGGGGGGGCAGTTAAAGGTTCTACCCAAGGCCACTGTAGACACTCTCCAAATTGGGGGAGGGGGCTGCTGCAGGATATTCTGAATCTGGACTAGAGATCTGTGATCCCCTGAAGCTCCTTCCTCTGAGCGTGAGTCGGAGCACCTGGAGTTCCCTCCACACCTACACTCTGCCCCAAGTAACTGTGCCTCTGGCTGGATGAGTTGTCCAACACAGGGCTCTGGGAACACACTCAGAATCACAGACCACCAGATACTTGGGAACTGATCAGACTGTGATGAGGGGGGGATAGGAAGGGATAGGCAGATACGCCTAAGGACTAAGCCGCCCTTGCACTTCCAGGGATGAAAGCAGGAAGAGATGACCAAGTCCCTTCCCATGGAGATTCCCCATCAAGGCTGGCCAGGGCGGAAGCATGGGTCAGGGAGGAGAGGACTGCACAGCCCCAGATCTCCCCAGAAGCCACCTGCCAGCCCTTGGAAGCATCAAGGTGTACTCCATTCCCCCTCCCTCAGCCCATATTCCCTAGAAGGAGAACCAGGTAGTAGCTGGGGAGACCTTGACAAGCATAGAGAGCCCAGCACTGGAAGAGGAAAGCGGGGAGAGGAGACAAAGGTTCGAGTTGGGAAAGTCTGAAAAGGTAGAGGTGTCAATAGAGACTGTCTCCTCTTTCGCCAGCTCGTAATCAAGCGCAGTGGCTCCGCTCAACCCTGTACAGACCCAGGGGCATCCCCTCCTCCACCCCCGACAGGTTTATAAGATGGGGAAGAGGAAGAAACTAATTTGGAACGGATTCCAAGGAGATCCCTGTCACCCTCCTGCCCCTCACCTTATCTCAGCCCCCCGCTGTAGTCCACCCAAGCAGAACCTGGCGATCTGCTGCCGCCCCCTCCCTCTCCTGGACCGCGACCCCGCCGACCCCGGCCAGACAGACGGAGATCAACAAAGTCACGCTTCCGAGTCAGGTGCCCACTGTTTTCCTCCCACCCGCAGGCGGGCGGGGGGCGAGCGGAGGAGAGGCGCCGCGGGTCTGCTGAGCCGGGAGCCGTGACAGCGCCCGACTCCAGCCGGAGGCCGCCGGCCACCGAGGGATCCCTCTTCTCCTCAGCCCCCAGCGGCTTGGTCTGCCGCAGCCCAATCCTCAGGCCGGTGGGCTCCGGCCGCGCCGAACACTGGCTCGCTCGCTCGCTCGCTCACTCACCACAGTGACCGGGGACACCATGGCGGCGGCGGCGGCGGCAGCGGCTGGCACCCGGCTTCGGGATGCAGCAGCCAGGACTCGCCCGCGGCCAGGTGAGGAGGCGACGACGTAACAAAGCCCAGGGTGACGGACAATGCCTCTCGCGTTCCCGGCGCTCGGGGTTCTGTCTGAGAACCCTGCGACGTCACCGCAGCCACGGCCAATGAGCGGGCCGGAGTCCCGGGGGGCGGGGCCCAGTGGGCGACGCCTGCCAGGCCTCCCGGGGCTTCTGCCAGGAGAAAGGAGGCTTCTCCAAGGATGCAGGGGGCGGGACCTCGGAGGCCCCACCCCTCCAGGAGGCAGTGCCAGAACATCCTGGAAAGTGACCGTGACCCTGACCCTAGTCCCTGGGCGGGGGACCAAGTTTGGCTGAAAGACAAACACATTGCTGACCTGGACACACTAAACCAAAACCAAACCCAACCCAACCCATTGCTGTCGAGTCAGTTCTGACTCATAGCGACACTATAGGACAGAGAAGAACTGCCCTATAGGGTTTTCAAGGAGTAGCTGGTGGATTCGATGGATTCGAACTGCTGACCTTTTGGTTAGCAGCCGAATGTTTAATCACTGTGCCACCAGGGCTCCCTGGACACATGGCTGCACATATATTCGCATATATTCTCATAACCCCGCAACAAAAGGCAGACAGATTCCCTTTAGCCTTTAATCATACAATCCATATGGACACAATTGAAATTAGACCCAAAATCTTCACTGTGTACAAACACACATCCAATTGGACACACAATGACCAGCAGACACACAACCTTAAACATGAAAAGAGACACATGTATATACAGATATGCAGCAGCCCATAGACCCCAAATCCTAACATATATACAAACACAGAATCGCAATTACTCTTGGACACTGAACAAGTTCACAAACCACAGGTGGATACACATTCTTCAACATAAAATCAGAGACACATATGTAGACCCGCAGCAGCCCATAGACTCATAACCCTAACATATAAACAAACACAGGTACTCAATTGTCCTTAGGCACACACTTCTCACAACTCAGAAACACACCAGAAATTAAAGGCAGACCTGAGCATACTTAAGGACCCAAAGGAGTGTGAACTAACTTTGCCAAAAATATAACTTAAATGGTTCTAATGTTGCTAAAACACAGATTGAAAGCACGGGCACATTTGGAAGTATGAGTGTTCAGAATCATGAGAATTACGTAGGAGGTGGGTAGTCAAATGTACAGAGATAAAGTCCCAGTTTTGCCACTTCCATGCCATGTGATTGGATGAAGCACTTCTCTCTGGCCTTGATTTCCTCATCTATTAGTGATGATCTCTAATGTTCCTCCCAACTGTCTCCTCTTTCGCCAGCTCGTAATCAAGCGCAGTGGCTCCGCTCAACCCTGTACAGACCCAGGGGCATCCCCTCCTCCACCCCCGACAGGTTTATAAGATGGGGAAGAGGAAGAAACTAATTTGGAACGGATTCCAAGGAGATCCCTGTCACCCTCCTGCCCCTCACCTTATCTCAGCCCCCCGCTGTAGTCCGTTGTGTAGGATGGGGAAGAGCTGCTGGTTTCAGGAAATGTAAATCTAGGTAGCTTCCTAGAGGAGGAGATTTCAAATACATTTTAAAGGATGGACTAATGATCCATGACCTGCAGTAGCAGGGGAGTAGTTGTTTGACTTTGGGAATTTGAGGCGGGGGTGTGGCCAGTCCTAATTAGCAGCCACTGAGGAGTTTCTAGTATCCTGGGATGGTGACACTGAGGCCCTGGTGCTGGACCCCAGCCCTGTGCTGGCCAAGCAGAGGCCCACAGGCCGAGGTCTTCTGGGATCCCCTTTCCCCAATGGGCCTCTTCTTGTTCTTCTTCTTTTTTGTGCCCTACCCAGCTTTCCCTAAGCCTGTGCTATTAGCCTAGCACCCATTCAGAGGGAGGAGCATCCTCTTCTACTACAGAATTGACAATTGCAGGTTCTGAGCCTAGAACAATAGGGGTGAGTGTCATCCATAGCCTTCCGCCATCGTCTCCAATCCCCTCCTGGACAGAGCCCCAGTGGACAATGAACTGTTCCTGCTCTACTTCGTTTTCAGTCACGGGCTGTCAGGAGGCCCACCTTACCAGAACGGGGGACTTGAATTGCTGCTCCCAAGGCTTTCTCTCTCTCTCTCTCTCTCACACACACACACACACACACACACATACACACACCCCTGACTTCAATTGCTGCTCCCAGGGCTTTATCACACACACACACATACACACACCCCTGACTTCAATTACTGCCCCATACACATTATCACACACTCACACACACACACACACACACACACACACACACACACACACACACACCCCTGACTTCAATTGCTGCTCCCAGGGCTTTATCACACACACACACACACAACCACCTGCAAAGTGTGCTGCCAGAAAAGACCACTAGATTGGGGATTAGAAATACTTAGTACTAGATGCAAGAGACCAAAGGGGCAGCTTCTGTCCAGAGGTGAGATGGGAAGGCAGAGAGGGTTAGGAGCTGGTTGAATGGTCTAAGAAATCAGGGGTGGAAAGGAGGAGTGTGCTGTCACAGAATGGGGTGAGCAATTAGAGTCTCATAACAATGTATGTAAAAAAATTTTGTATGGAGACTAACTTGAAATGTAAACTTCATTTAATTACAACAATAAAAAAATAAAAAGAAAAAACAAGAAATACTTAGTACTAACCCCTTATCTCTCTGACTTGCTAGTTGTATAATGGGGCACGTCACCCCATCTTGAAGCCTCAGTTTACTCATCAGTAAAATGGGGGGAATTAGGCTAGAAGATACAGGCAAACATGCCAGTTTTCCAGCCAAACCGTCTAAGGTTACCTACGGGATAGTTCTCAGACAGAGAGCAGTTAAGTCAGGGCATTTTTCATTTCTCTGAGCCTTAGTTTCCCTGTCTATAAAAATGAGAACATAGGACTACGTTAGTGTTTCTCAGCAA